CGCTGAAGCGCGCCGACAACAGCGCGCCGACAGAAGCGCGCTGTAACCCTAACCCTAAACCAAACCCTAAACCTAACCCCAAACCTTAACTTAGATCACGCTTCTGTCGGCGCGCTTTTGACATCGCGGTTTTAGCGACGCGGTTTTGTCGGCATGCTTTTGACGTTCGCGCATTTGCCGGGTCACGGCTGACGACAAATGATTCTGGATGCTGGATTTCTGCCCGAGTTAGAATAGAATAAACAGAGTTGGAAGGGACCTCGTAGGTCATCTAGTCCAACCTCAAGCAAGAAACCCTAGGATACCGTTTCTAACTTGGGCAAGTTTCCTTCCCAGGGAGAATTCTATTGATTTGAGAATCCCCATTGCTCCCAGCGTGCCTGCTCAACGGGAAGGGGACGATGGGTGCTGTGATCTCTCACATCTGGAAGGTAGCAGTCTGATGGTGCAGCTGCTTTTTCTTTTTGGGCAAGGATGAGGAAATTTGTCCCAGCTTTGATTTAGGTCATAGCCCCCCTGGTGGATGTATTTATTTGCAGATTATTATTTTAAATAACTAAGGTTGCAGCCACGTTTTTTCTTCCGGATAGGTAGTAAAAAGTAGCAAAGGACAGTTGGGTGAATGTTTTTTTGGGGGGTCACAAACTCTAACAGAGTTTTTCCTCACTTTCAGAGGTATGGACTTCAACTCCCAGAATTCCCCTGGTTCAAGGCCACACCTCTTATTGCGGTTGAAAAACTCTTTTTATCACGTTGTATTGTTATTTCATTCACTGCATTTATGTCCTGCTGGGGTCTGAATCACACAGGATCCTTTCCACTGTTATTGGTCCCTTTTGCCCATAAAAACACAGGTCCAGAGGGGCAAAGAGGGACCACGCCCCCCATTAGGCACAGCTCCCAAGGACTACAATTCCATCAAGGCTTCATCCCCCTCCCCTTGGCACCTTTTCATTCTTCGATGGAAAAAAACCGTAGCTTATTGGGACTTCTTAAAAGGTGCTCTTTTCCATCTACAGGCAGCCCTCGACTTACAACAGCTCATTTAGTAACCGTTTGAAGTTACAGCAGCACTGGAAAAAGTGACGTATGACCAGTGTTCACACTTATGACCGTTGCAGCATCCCCGTTGGTCACGTGGTCAAAATTCAGACACTCGGCAGCTGATTCTCACCGATGACGGTCGTAGCGTCCCGGGGTCACGCGATCCCCTTTTGCGACCCTCTGACAAGCAGACTCAACGGGGGGAAGCCAGGTTCACTTAACAACCATGTGACTAATTAGAACAACTGTGGCAAGGAAAGACGGGGCAAAGCTTAACAACAGAAATCGTGGGTTGTATTGTGCCATACGGGCCATGGTCTTCTTTTATTTTGACCTCTGAAATAAACGCTTGGCCGTATTTTCGGGGAGGTCTCATTATTTTTGAGGTGCAGGAGGCGGGGAGTGTGGTCACCACATGGTTGTTAAGTGAACCTGGCTTCCCCCCGTTGAGTCTGCTTGTCAGAAGGTCGCAAAAGGGGATCGCGTGACCCCGGGACGCTACGACCGTCATCG